GAAACAATGAAGAACTCGAAGGACTGACAATTGCAACCGGTCAAGAACACAGCATATGAAGACTGAAGTTAGCACTCGGAGGACTTATTTACTTCCTTAAGTTGGTGATTCTCACAACTTCAGAAAGTAGAAGACTACTTGATGGGAAAAAGTACTTGAACCGATCTAGATTTCCAAATTATTTATGAAGAGCATTCAGATCAGACCTATTTAATAAAAGAAGGGAATGAAAGAATATTCTACTAGAGATGCCACTCCTTTTCATATAAAAACATGGCTCTCCTTCATCATAAGAGGCCTCTCTCACACTCCTCCCCTACCAATCTCTCTCTCTCTCTCTCTCTCTAGACTATAGAGCCTGTTCTTTAGTACTGAAAAAAAAATGAATGTTGGAAGAAACTAGAGAAAGTTGAAGAAATTAGAAGGAACTGGAAGAAATTATCAGAGCCTAACTCTCTTCCAGACTTAACCGTTTGAGAGGAATAAGATCATGGGCTCTTCTTCTAGAAATTTGTACGCAGGTATTGGCGAAGGGCAATCGACCTCTAGGCCACCACTCTTTGATGGCACCAACTACTCCTATTGGAAGGAACGGATGAGAATCTATATCCGTTCCACCAACTTCCTATTATGGTTGGTCATCAAAAACGGAGAGGAAATCCCAATAAAGAAAGTGGGAGAAACCACGGTCCCAAAGACCGAGGACGAGTTTGATGCCGAGGACATCAAGAAGGTTGAAAACTACGCAAAGGCTATCAACATGCTATATTGCGCGGTCAACCCCGATGACTACCGAAAGATCTCCTGTTGCACAACCGCCAAGGAGATGTGGGACAAGCTTGAAGTGACGTACGAAGGTACTGGTCAAGTTCGTGAAGCCAAGATTGACTTTCTCACCCAAGAGTACGAAATGTTCCGAATGAAGGAATGTGAGAAAATCGATGACATGTTCGACCGGTTCTCAAAAATCATCAACGATCTTCACGCCTTAAAGAAAAGCTACTCCAACAAGGATCTAGTGAGGAAGATCCTTTGAAGCTTGACTCCCGAATGGCGCTCTAAGGCAGATGCCATTTACGAGTCAATTGGCGTCTCCAATGTCACAATTGATGGATTAAGAGGTAATCTCAAAACTTACGAATCTACCATTCTTAATCCATCATTGGACGAACAAAAGAAAAAGGGAATAGCTCTCAAAGCCACCAAGGAACCGGTGGAAGAGGTTTCTAGCGATGACGATAACGAGTTTGGACTCGTCATCAAGAAGTTTCACAAGTTCATGAAGAAGGAATTTGAGCGGAAGGGAAGGAAGCACGACGGTCCTCCCAAGTGCTACGGCTGTGGCGAGATTGGCCACATCAAGCCAAGGTGTCCAAAAGCCAAGCACGGCAAGGACAAGCCCGGCTTCAAGAAGTAAAGGGCTTACATCTCTTGGGGTTGCGATTCCGGCGACGAATCAACCGATCAAGAGGAGGACGAAGCTGCAAATCTTTGCCTCATGGCGCACGAAGACCAAAACAACGACGTCCAAGAGGAATGTACCATTTCTTCCGACTCTTATACTCTTGAAGAAATGCAAGAAGCACTTCATGAACTTTATGAAGAATTTGTTAGCGCTTCCAAAACAAATAAATCTTTAAAGAAACGTCTTTCTACACTTGAAAACGATTTTGAAAAATTGGAAAAAGACAATGAAAAATTAAAACAAGAAAACAAATTTTTTGGAAAAAGAAGCGCTGACAAACCGGAAAGTTCCTCAAGTGAATGTGAATCTTGTAAAGCTTTAAAAGAACAAGTCACTAAACTTGAGAGCACGGTCAAGAAATTTAATACTCCTCACAAAGATTTAAATTTGCTCCTTGACACTATGCATTTTTCTAAGGAAGGAATAGGTTTTAATAAAAATGAAGCTAAGGTTAAAGAAAACGTTGAGCCACCACATAGACAACCATCTAAGGCTCAACATAAGAAACTTAAAAATCAGGATAATAGAAAACCTAGTCAACCTAAGGACACTAGACAACCTAGACTAAAACCTAGGAATGAAAATGTCCATGGTAGACAACCTAAGAAAAATGTTTTTGTGCATAAAACCGACTTTTCTCAAAATAAAAAAAATAATGTTAGAGCACCTAGAAAAGGTCAATTCCAAAACTTTCAAAAACCATCTTTTTCACAAAATAGGAATAAAATGGTTAAATCCTCTAACTATTATGAACCTAGGCACATGTACAACCCCAACGTAGTTTGCCATTATTGTAATAGCATAGGCCATATTGCTCTCGTTTGTTACACTAGGCATGGGGACCTATCACAAAATCAAGCACACTACCATCACACACCTAACACACGAGGACCCAACGTAAATTGGGTACCTAAAACTCATTGATGTGTTTCATAGGTGTACTTGAAGGCATCAAGTGTACTTTGGTACCTTGATAGCGGATGCTCCAAACACATGACCGGGGATGCATCCAAGTTTCTCCAAATCAAACCCGCTAAAGGAGGAAACGTAATTTTTGGAGACAATAGCAAGGGAAAGATTATCGGCATTGGTTCGGTAGGTAAATCTGAAAACTCCTCTATAGATAATGTCTTGCTAGTTAAAGGTCTTAAACACAATCTCTTGAGCATAAGTCAATTATGTGACAAGGGAAATCGTGTGACCTTCGATTCAAAATCATGCACGGTAGAATTCCTTAGTGATAATAAAGTCATTCTACGTGGTGATGGAATCGATAATATTTACATGGTTAACTTAGACAAGTCACCTTCCTGCGTTGCTAAGTGCCTCATGAGTAATGAGGAAGACATGCCATTATACACCAACCCGCAACCACAACCTGAGGAAACACCTCAAGTGATGGTCGAAAATGAGGATCAAGCGGACGAAGAAGAACACGAGGAAGCCCAGGAACAAGAGGAAACCAAGCTTCCCATCGCTTGGAGAACGAACAAGAACCATCCACTTGACCAGGTAATCGGCAGCATCAACCGCGGGGTAAGTACTCATAACTCACTTAGGGACACCGTAGGACATATGGCTTTTGTTTCTCAAATTGAACCTACAACCATTTCCGAAGCAATAAACGATGGACATTGGACCTTGGCTATGCAAGAGGAGCTAAACCAATTCAAACGTAATGACGTTTGGGAATTGGTGCCAAGGCCCGATGATCGTACGATTATTGGTACGAAATGGGTGTTCCGTAACAAACTTGATGAAAATGGAATAATCACTAGAAAAAAAGCTAGGATCGTAGCTAAAGGCTACAATCAAGAAGAAGGCATTGATTTCGAAGAAACTTATGCACCCGTAGCACGTTTAGAAGCTATTCGTTTACTTCTTGCTTTTGCTTCGTCTATGGATTTTAAACTTTATCAAATGGATGTTAAGAGTGCCTTCCTCAATGGTTTTATTCAAGAGGAAGTGCATGTTGACCAGCCCTCGGGGTTTGAAGACTTTGAGTTTCCCGACCATGTCTTCAAACTCAAGAAAGCGCTCTACGGTCTTAAACAAGCACCCCGTGCTTGGTACGAACGTTTGACCAAATTTCTTTTGGATAGTGGTTTCCAAAGGGGAAGAGTTGACACTAGACTTTTTATCAAGAGTAAAAACAATAACATCCTTTTGGTTCAAGTTTATGTAGACGATATTATATTCGGTGCTACTAACGAGTCTTTGTGCAAGGAATTCTCAACGTTAATGACAAGTGAATTCGAGATGTCAATGATGGGCGAGCTCACATTCTTTTTGGGACTCCAAGTCAAGTGAATGAAAGATGGCACGTTCATTTGCCAAGCTAAATATTGCAAAGAGCTCCTAAAACGGTTTGAAATGGACAACGCCAAAGCCATGGCAACCCCGATGAGCACGTCTGACCATCTTGACAAAGACGAGAAAGGTAAGGAAGTAGAAGTCAAAAGGTATCAAGGTATGATCGGATCCCTTCTCTATCTTACCGCTAGTAGGCCGGATATCATGTTTAGCGTATGCCTTTGCGCAAGGTATCAATCGTGTCCGAAGGAATCACACTTAACGACGGTGAAACGGATCATGAAATACCTTGTTGTCACGGTTAACGTTGTACTGTGGTATCTTAAAGGCTCTTCTTGTCATCTCGTTGGCTATTCCGACTCGGACTTTGCCGGTTGCAAATTAGACCGTAAGAGTACGAGTGGGACTTGCCACTTACTTGGTAGCTCTCTAGTCTCCTGGTTTAGTAAGAAACAAGTCAGTGTTGCGTTATCTACAACCGAAGCGGAATATGTAGCCGCCGGTAGTTGTTGTGCTCAAATCCTTTAGATGAAGCAACAACTCGTGGACTATGGCCTTAGCATCAATCACGTTCCTCTTCGTTGTGATAATACTAGCGCCATAAGCTTGACGAAGAACCCTGTTCTTCAATCAAGGACGAAACACATTGACATTAGGCATCATTTCATTAGAGATCATGTTCTCAAAGGTGATGTCGAAATTGAGTTCGTTGAAACACACAACCAATTAGCCGACATTTTCACAAACCCTTTAGAGAAAGAGTCGTTCTTCCGCATTCGAAGTGAACTCGGAATCCTTGACTCCACGATGATCTAAGTTATGCATTTTAACTTGTTAAACGTTTACTAACTTGAGCATCGAAGAACTTTTTCTTTTTTGCAGGTACCCCGTTCATGAAATCAGGGGGAACCATTCAAACAGCGCTGTCCAGGAGACCCAACAGCGCTGTTGAGAGAAACACCAACAACCAACTTGAGCCGATGGCGCTGTACAACACTCCAACAGCGCTGTCACAGGGAGTACCTTTGCTTTCCAGTACCTTTTTGAACATCGATGTCTCTTTTCAAAACATCGCTGTCTACCCAAAACACCTTGTTTCCAACCAAAACCAGAAACTTTTCAAACAGCGATGTCCCCCTTTTCAACATTGCTGTCCATTTTTACAAAAAATTTTTCAATCATAAAATAGCGATGTAAGGAAACCCAACATCGCTGTTCTAATGGGTGCAAACCCTTACACATTTCCAGAAACTTTTGGAACATCGTTGTAGGATACCCAACATCGCTGTCTATTTGACACCTGTTTTTAAAACTTAACGCAGAACAGCGTTGTACAATGACACAAAAGCGCTGTCCCAACAGCGATGTAGCCTTTGGAACATCGTTGTTCTGGATAAATTTTTCAAAAAAAATTCTGTTGGCAGCTGCATTAATTACTCCAACAGCCATATTTTTGAAATTTCTAAACGTTAGGAACCCATCTCCCTATATATTTTGGACTCCCCTCTTCGCTTTTACACATCTAAACACAATCCTCTTAAATCTCCTTGCTTATTTCATCTTCTCTACATTGTTTTTGAGATTTCTTCATCACCATGGGCAAAGACAAGAGCAGGGCTGCCACCTCCGGGAAATCAAAGTCCAAATCCTGGGCACCGTCAACAAACTCCGAGGAGCGCCTCTACTATGGCGACAGATCGTACCTCTGGTTCGATTCCGAGGAGGGGCGCACCCGGTTCCTCACTTTCTTCTCTAAACGGGTTTGGGCTCCCCCACGGATCGTCCCGGAGCGCTTACCGGAGTTGCAAGGCTACGACGACCTCGACGTGCAGCTTCATCAAACCAGCCTCTAGCCGTTTGTCTCACGGGCTCGGAAGGAGATCAACTCGGCGCTGATTCGGGTCTTCTACTCGAATCTCCTGCGTGAGGACGACATCATCTACATAGCCTTGTCAAGTCCACGCCAATTGAGCTCACCGTTGAGCAGCTTGGGCGGATCACCGGCCTCCCCTACCAAGGCGGCGACGTCTCCCACTTCGGCGGAGAGGACTGGGTGCTCAATAACGAGGGCCTTATCCTCAACGAGCTTGGCATCACCGAGCTCATCCGGCACACCTCAGGCCGCCCCAGCATCCACTCCGCGAACCCCGAAGGCCGTCTCCTCCTCTACATCGTGTCCCGGATTATCAAACCCCGGAAGCATGGGCACACGATCATGTCCGATGAGGACCTCAAGCTCATCCATGTGATCATGCACACGGCACCAATCGATTGGGCAAAGTTTGTCATGATCAACATGATGATCGCCGCGTCCACCGACCACCATCACCTCCTCCCGTACCCGTTCGTGGTGATGGACATCCTTGAACGGTTCAAGGTAACCACCACTATTGGCCCGCTCACAAAGGCCACGAAGCTTTGGACGATCAGCGCCCAAACCTTCACCAAGCAGTCGGACAACGCCGCGCCACGCCGCACTGCCACTACCGCTGGCCCAGCCGAACCCCAGGCCCGGGCCAACCTAGCCTCCATCGCCGACTCCCTCAACCGGCTTCACTTCAAAGTTGGCAGGATGGATGGCTACCTTGAGCGGCTCGACGAGGCAGTCCAGCGCCAAGGGCACACCATGAACGCGTACTTCCAACGCGTTAACTCCGTTCCCCCACCGTACCATGGCACGTTCTTTGGGAAAGTGTACAGAGACGAGGATGAAGACAATGCCTCCTATGCCCCGTCAAGCTCCCCGGACGAAGATGAGTTCGACGACGCCATTGATGGTGATGAGATGGACGTCGACGATGATGAGGAGGAAACCGAAGACGAAGACTAGGACGCCCTTAGAACTTCTATCTCTTTTCTTTTAATCACCATAATGCTTCCGTTGTACTCCGCTATTTCCCAATTTAATAAATAAAATTATCTTTTATCTTTTTGTTAATGTCAAAAGGGGGAAGAAAAGGGTTATGCATACACTAAGGGGAAATGCCTCTAAAAACGGGATCATTTGATTTTGATACGACTACTCGTTCTTTTAAGCACAAATTAAGGGGGAACTTTTTCACACACTTTTTGAAAACAAAATATCCCTTAGTGTACATATCCCCGTCTTGTTTGCCATTATCAAAAAGGGAGAAATTGTTGGAACACAGGTTTACGCCTATGTCGTACTAAACCGTGTTCGTTTTATGACAGATTTTGATAATGCCAAACCGCCGTGACAACAAACACTAAACTGAGAAAATCAAAGGCAAAGGAACATGGCATGATGATTTGAGAACCAAGAACCAAGAATCAAGAACGAAGACTTAGAATTGTATTGAGTCGGTCTTAATGTGATCAAGACCCGCACAAACTTTCAAAACTTGGCTCTCTAGGCTCATTTCATCACAATACTTTTTGCATATTCAAAAATGTCTTTCGTAAGTTTTAAACACGCCTAAAAACACTTGGAGTTTGCCCAAACCAAAAACCAAGCCATCCGGCGTTCGATTTTCAGAAACCGGCGTTCAGCTTTCGGTTATTGGCGTTGGCTTTTGGCGTCCGAACCAACCAAGTGGTTTTCAACTTTTAATGATTTGTTTTTACTTCTGGGCATATTTAAATAGTTCTCCAACAACAATGCTTCAAAAACCACCTTTCGTTTTTGGTCGTTTAGTGAAAACCATGCGAAACGGCGTAAACTTGGCTAGCCGTGGTTTTCAATTAAATGACGTGGTTTTAAAGATGTTTTACTTGATTTCTTAGAAAAATGCATTAAACAAACTTTTTCAATACTTGGTTTTAACTTTGGAGAACTTAGAATTTTGACATCGGCTAACGGCATGACTAAACCAACCATGGGTCTGGCTAAACCAGCCCAACAGCGATGTTGGAGTAACCAACAGCGCTGTCTGGCATGGGTAGCTGAAAACCGTGGTTTGGTGTTAAGTCTTGCAACAACGATGTTGGATGTTAGACATCGCTGTTGAGCTAATGTTGGAACATCAGGAACAGCGATGTAGCCTTCCCTACATCGTTGTCCAACCTAAGCCAAAAACAAATACATTGGCAGAAAGTTTTTGGACAGCGCTCTTGTCCCAGCAACAGCGATGTCAGGCCATTTCTTTCACTTTCAAAGTCAGGCCTAAACAGCGATGTTCAAGTAATGAACATCGATGTAGGCACCTCCGTTGGAAGGAATTTAAGGCTAAAACTTTCCTTGTTCGGAAGTCAATAGCCAAAACAGCGATGTAGGGGTTTTGGACATCGCTGTTGGCATGACCGTTGCTTCCCAATTTTCAAAAACCAAACCTAGAACAGCGCTGTCTGGGTAAATTTCAGCAGATCCAATTTTAATCAAATCCCACAAATTGTGCCAATCACCCCTTAAATGTTTTGATCCATTGGAGCCTATTTTTCCACTATAAAATGGGGTGTTTGGGTCTGTTTTATATATCGCATTACTTCACAACTCCTACTCTTTCTGTAACATCCTAATCCGTCCAGGTCTGCAGCCCCTTCCGGACTAAAGTATTAACTTGGTAATCGTAAAAATTTAAAACTTTTCAAACACACTTTATTAATCCCAATAATTTTTCATAACATATACAGTACGGAGTATTCAACAATATTGCGGAAGCGAATTTAATTTTGACATATCATAAATCATTTCAAACTTGTCACGTTCATCCCGACAATCTCGCCCCATCAGCCGCCAGGATCACATTGTGCTATCTGCTTACCTGCGTGTAGCAAATAAAACACACTACACGCTCAGCGGTAAAGCTGAGTAAGCATATCTAATGCGTCGAACATCCATATAAACTGAATCTAAATTCATAATCAAATCATTTGATATCATGCACACAATGTTCATTTCAGACATTCACAGTTTTGGTATTATTCAGTTCATATCAACACATTTTATTCAATTCAGATATTAATCCAATAGTGCTCTTAAATTATTCTTAATCTAAGGTCAGATCATAACAACGCTCTTAGCTANTTAAAAACATCATTTTTATTATGGTAAATCATTTTTATAATGGTCATAATCCATTGGTATCAAAAATAGGATTTTAGAGCTCAAAAATAGCAATTTCGGACAAATTTTCGGATCAGAACTTCGGGGGATCGATCCAGCCCTCTGGATCGATCCATATGTAGAGAAAATAGTCCCAGAGGATCGATCCAGGCCATTGGATCGATCCAGACAGTCTGGTTTTGGTTACTGTTCATCATCTTCTTCGTTCGGGTCCAATTTCGAAAATATCGTTTTTAGTTACCGAACTTCAACGAAACTATATAGAGATGTTCTCCAAGGTTCATAGATCATTTTGGAATCATTAATTCATAGTTTTAACATCAATTTCATGGTTTATGATTATTGGTTCTTCAAACATGTCAAACACAAAACTCAACCAAACGACCGTTTATGAACATAGAAACGATCTATATGAACATTCTAGTCACTAGATATATCTACGGGCTTACCTCGAAGGTAAATGAAGGTTTTGGAAATTTTCCGGCGAAACTTCCGGCAACGATTACTCCCATCTCCGGCGACCTTTCACAAAATTGACAGCATCTATGTACTCTCCATATTCATAGCTCTCATATGAAAGAAGAAGGAAAGATTTTGGTGTGGAAATGAGGAAGAGGAGAGTAGCATTTATAGCTAGAGAAGAAAGAAGAAGACAATTGGTGATCCTGGTGATGATGGATCGATTAGTGCGCAAGGCTGCGATGCTGATGAACTTCTCATGATTCTTCTCTGATTGGGACTAATTTGGTCCCAGTCGGGGTACACTTTTTGGTCCAACTTTCTCCGAATTGAAATGTGTTTGCACCGTTGCGATCAGACAGTCGAGCTCTATCCAACGATATAATTTTTATGTTTATTTGGTATACTTTTTCAGAAACCATATTTTTGGGTGTTTGACTTTAACAGAGTCAAAATTGGTTTAATTGACCTTTCTCATAAAAGGTTCTCTCATTTAATTCACATCAATTATTCTCATGATTTATTTCAACAAATCATTTCAATATTTACATTCTAAACAAATTCTTTATTTACTCTTGATTTGGGTCTGTACTCAGGTTCCCAATCAAGACCACACAAATAGTCCACATATTGGATTTATCTCTATTAGACTTATCCAGATTTTGATATTAGATGTCAAAACAAATTTCGTATCGGCCCAAAGCCCAACAATAATTTATTTTAATCAAAACAAATTTGATTAATTGATTATTTATTCATTAATAATTCTAGGGTATATTTTGGGGCGTTACACTTTCATTGCATGTCATTCATACATTATTCATAGCTTTTCGAGAGCCATTTTTCTGAAGCTTGTGTTGTATTCTTGAGCGTTCTTAGTTACTCATCATCCACTCTAAACGAGAGTATTGTTCTTTAGTGTTTTTAGTGTTCTTAGACACTTGACAAGAGAAAATATTTCTCTTGTTG